TTTTCATATTTGTTTCATTTCGATAACTCTAACCACGCATGTCTTTAACATTCAAAGTTCATCAGATGCAACAAAAACGAAAGTTACAATTCAATTTCTAGGAATAAACATGCCATTTTTTAAGAAATGACTCCCCATTTTTCATTTTACCGATTATAATTTATTTATATTTTTTAACAAGTTCTGTTTCAACAAAATCAGCTCGTAGTTTTTCGTCAATAATGCCCAATAATTAATTTAATCTTTCGCAGCTTTTCGCTTATGGGCAAACTAGATAATTTCTTTTTCGATTCCGCCGTAACTTCAAACAAAGAAAAAATTGAATAAGTATAGATTAAGCAATAAACAGAGTTGTTATTTACTCATTTGCAGAGTAATTAATAGGTTAATTGTTTCTACTAATATCACATTGCAGTCTCCGTATCGATAGTTCAGTTAGAGTGCTCATTATAATTTATCAAGTATTCTAGATTTTATATAAATAATAAAAAATATAAATAATATAAATTTAATATCCGAAACTCGTTTTGGCGCCCCCTAAGGCGTGCGCCCGCATTTTTGCACGCATCGCACCGAACGGCCCTGAGTATAATGACTGAGAAATGAACTGAGACTGACTAAGACTGACTAAGAATGAACTGGGAATGAACAACGATTTCATTATCCTGCAGCTTTTATATTCCTTATCAAGATAACGTAATCCTTCTCTAGAATGTTCGTTCGAACTTGTTCAGATTCGTTATATGTATAAGTCAGAAACTACGCATTCCTTATTTATTTAAGGCGCAATTTGTGGTTTTGCAGTTAGAAAGCCTTGCAAAAGACCGTTATTTTTTGAACACTTGTTGTTCTTATCTCTAACGTACAACGTAACAGTTATGACTCAACAAGCATACTGCGTCGTTTATATTCTGACCGTTAAATAGTAATTTATAATATTATTTATGACTAGCTGACCCGGCAAACGTTGTTTTTCTAAGTAAGGTATATTCTAAAGAATTTCTAGAGAATCAAAAATATAATACTTTAAGTATATAGGATTGTGTTTTTTCAATGCTATAAACAATGAGGTATTATAAAAATAAAAATCCCCATTAGTTTTGTCTATATTTGTCAACACAATCAAACTGGAATTTTATACACTTTCTATAGAAAACATGGTATAATCTAATCCAAGTCTTTTTCGGTCTTTCGACTTATTGATTACGTTTCAAGATTTTTTCAGATTCTTTTTGGATTCTGGATTTTGTGTATAATTGTAAATAATACCACTGAACTTATACACAATTTTCAAATATTTGCGAGTAGAGATAGAAAATTAATTCAGTATTTCTTCTTTGTCCTGATTTTTGAAAAGTTTTAAGTAACATTCGATGAATTAAAATAAATTTAATAAAAAGTATGTATGTAGAGCAGAGCGAGGCACAAAGGTCCAATTTGACTTTGAGCAAATATAAACTATATTGTGAAAACCATAACAAATATATCACAACAAATAACACATATCAAACGAACAATTATCTGACTACGTTCAGTAAACTGCCTTCTACTTCATTATTGTAGAAATGTTTTTTTTATGTCTTCCAAAAATTTGTTATTTATACCTTTTTACCCTTTAGACGGGGTACCTTGAAACGGGCAGGTGGCAAAAATACTTTTATTATGGATGTTCAAAGAGAACCGTTTATCTCCCTCATGTCAAAAATTGCCGTTTTCAAATCAAGGTTATAGCTGGTTATACATATTTTTTCCTGTACATTCAAATATTGTCGTTAAACAATGCTTAACTTTACTGACTTTTGACACATCGGTGGTGGACCTTTTTAACCCCGGACCTTCATATATTACTATCTATTCTTCGATAAATTCTGGGAAGTTTTAACTGGGAAAATGTTATTCGACAAAATGTCCATTTGATCGATACCAAATTAGGTTCTGAATTTAAATAACATAAATAAAAAAAATATAACCTTAAACTGAACAAATCGGAGCTGTTTCCAGGGACTCTCTGTCGATCTTTATTGACTCGACTAAAAGTCGGTCGGCAAGAGCCATATCTGTATGTGTAAAATAATCCTGGATACGAGTAGAGGGATCGGACACATGAGGATATGACTCGCTCTCTCGGATCTATATAAAATTTTGAAAAATTTGCCGCCCCCTAAATTATGCCCCCTAGGCCCGAGCCTCACAGGCCTATGGGGTAATCCAGCATGTTTATATTTAGAAATTATGTTATTTGTTAATAAATATGTTTAAAAGATAAATTTGGTTATAAATTATAACCATATAATTCTTCTCCCCTATGGGGTAATCCTAACTATATATTTCAAAATTAAGGCGGCACTTTAAATCATATTGGTAGAGTGGCTTGGCACACTACAGTTAAAAGCTTGCCGACCCCTGATATATACCATTGTATAATAAAGAAGACTTATTTTTATCACTTGTCAGAGAAACACGGTCTCAGATTTACTTGATTATTGATTTGTAATCAGTTGCAATATATTTATATATAGGAGACTTAAAAACTCTCACACTACTTCTCTTTCTGAATCCAGTTGGAGTTTTAACTCAGCTCACGGACCTGCCCTAGGGCAGCACACCCATTATTATTATTATTATTATAGGAGACTTATTCCATGCCACTTTTTTCATTATTTATTTTTAAGATCATAAATATATTTTTATTGAATAATATACTATAGTACTGAAATCTATAATCTAATATTTCTACTGCTTTGTCATTGGACTGATCATGATGGAATTACAAATCCAGAACCAGTGGTCACTAATCCATGTTATTAATACTTAATTTATATAAATTTAAATATGAAAACAAAAAATAATACTTAGCAATTGCCTTGATTATCAATAAATGCATTTTAAATAATGTTTACTGTATAATTCATACTATTTATACATTTCATTACATGTTAGAATATTTTGTAACATGTTTACAAATATTTAAATTCAATTTGTTTCAACAACTATGTTTAGATTTCATTTCAACTATCATTTTGTGTTTGTACCCGGCACAAACAAAAACTCCGCAATTCAGTACGATTAAAATATAATGTTATTTAATCTCAAATAGAACATTAAAAATTTAATGAATTTACAAAAGTCCAAACATTGTGGAATATTAGATCAAAGCGACATAACGATATATAACTAGGAAATATTAAAAAGCAAATTCATTGATATAATTAAGTTATATTTTATTAGAATATGTTTAATATATATATACATAGATAAATAAGCATATATATATATATCTAAACCAAACCATTGCCAACTGCCATGAAAAGATCAGAAAGAGTTTGGTCTAGTCTAGTTCAGCGATGTCCAACCTAAATTACTCTTTGAGCCAAAATTTAGGAATAGACAAGGTACTGGGCCACAACAAATCTGGAAAAACTAGTGGTGCGTGGCATCGCGCCTTAAGGCAATTTGATGGAACTTCTCGTACTGTAATTCCAAACTTTTAAAAGCTTTAAGGGGGGCGATACATGTAACAAGAAAAAAAAAATCGATTTTTTTTTTCTTCATAAATCGTTACAATAACATCTCAAAAATATGCCTGTAAATATTCAAAACAAAATTATCATTATTTATACAATAAAAACTCATTTAAGTGCCACGCCTCAACTCGACGCTTGAGTGCTATTGTACTCTTATCTTTTTCTATGTGTCAAAACTTTAAACGCGTTTTTCTCAAAACGACATTTTTGAAATTTGCGGGCGGGATAACTCAAAAAGTTCTCAACCGATTCCAATGAAATTTTGCACACATCTACTTTACAGTAATAGCTTCTAGTTAATCCTCAAACATTCCAAAAAAATTTTCAAAAATTAACCCTTTTACCAAAAAAAACCATTGAAAAAAAGGTAAAAAATCGAACTTTCTGAGGTGTGCCAATTTACGATTTTGTGACTTTTTTAATTTTTTTTTTTTTGGTTTAACTAGAATATATATGTTTTATGAACACGTACAAACTAATTTTTTTGATTTCGGATCACCGTACGAAAAGTGAGAACGCCCGCAAATTGAAGGCGTTTTCCGAGAGGGTCTTGGCAGATTTATTTTTACGGCAGCCATTTAAAAAAAAAATTAAAAAAAAATTTTTTTTGTGTATTTTAATATATAATAAATAACCCTAAAAAGTTCAAAAAGATTCAGTCATTCCTTCCCAGTTTAAAAAGTCTTCAAAAAATGGTAAAAATTAAGGCGATTACATGTATCGCCCCCCTTAATATTTTTGAAAACTTTGAAAAAATTAGATTTTTGAGAATCTTGAAATTATTGAAAAAAATTGACTTTTTTGAAAAGAATGTTTTTCTTTGTATTTTAAAACTGTTTGAAATTTCTTTTTTTTCAAAATAATCGTAATATGAACATTTTTTCGGAGATAACTCCCCACGATTACAAGCATATGGACTTATAGACTGGTGAGTGACTCGTGAACTAGTGTTGCCCACTCGACCATAGAGCCCCTAGTCTCCCGTTGTCCGTTCCGTTGACAATTATTTGTCGTTATCTGTCAAGCGCTGATTCATATCTATTCTTTTCATTTGATGCTGACTTAGTGTTCAGACTTCTATATTAGCCTTTACAAAAATTATTTTATTTATTTAAATTGAAAATTATAATTAGTGCGATTGTTGTTTATCATGGGGCCGTACAAAAATTGCCATCGGGCCGCAGGTTGGACATGGCCGGTCTAGTTTGAAACAGTTTCGGACTGTCAGATTGGCTCGGATGGAACAAACCCGTTAAATATCAAAGATTTGATTTGATAAATGTCTCATCTTTCTATAAAGTATAAACATACTCTATGCTTCAAATGTCAAATTTTAGTTGAAATCATTTATCGTATTTCAAAAAATTGTTGATTAAAGTAGTTTATTATTTAGAATACGAATTGTTTTTAGATAATTCAATTAGTGAGTACAAGTAGTGAAAATATTTCAAAATGTCAGAAGAAACATTTAAATTTATGAATGATCAAGTCTATGAGGCAATTATTAAAATTGAACCACCAGAATATTCAACAGGGGACATTAAACTCGAAATTGAAAATGAATTTGATGCCCTTGATGTTACTGTTAAATCAGAATCGTTTACTGAAGACGATGATACGTGTTTAGAAAGATTCATGAATTCCGAGGTGACAATTAAAGAAGAAGTCAAACAGGAGTCTTTTGATTGTGACATTTGTAATCAATCATTTGCAGAATCACATCATCTAACAAAGCATATGGTCGATCACATGCCTAGCGATAGTAAAGAACAAGCCATGAAATGTGAAATCTGTCAAATGACTTTCAAACAATCATTTTTTTTTAAAAATCACATGGACTATCACAATGATAAGCCTCAAACGTCACATGAATGCAAAGAATGCAATAAAACATTCACACGATCCGGTGATTTGAAAAAGCACATGCTGATACACACTGGTGAGCGTCCCTATGATTGCAATGTATGTAATAAGACATTCAGACATTTAGGTACTCTAAAAAGTCACATGCTGATACACGAAGGGATACGTCCCCATGAATGCAGCGTATGTAAGAAGACATTTAGACATTTAACTAGTTTCAAAAATCACATGCTGATACACAAAGGGATACGTCCCCATGAATGCAGTATATGCAAGAAGACATTCACACATTCAAAAAGTCTCAAAAATCACATGCTCAGTCACAGTGGTGAGCGCCCCCATGAGTGCAGTTTATGCAATAAGACATTCACACAATCGTGTACTCTGAAATCTCACATGCTCATTCACACTGGTGAGCGTCCCTATAAATGCAGTTTATGCAATAAGACATTCACACATTCAAGTAATCTGAAATCTCACATGCTCATTCACACTGGTGAGCGCCCCCATGAGTGCACTATATGCAATAAAGCATTCGTACAATTAAGAAATATGAAAAGACACATGCTGATACATACTGGCGCAAGCACTCATAAATGCACAATTTGTAATAAGACATTCACACATTCATTGAGTCTCAAAAATCACATGCTCACTCACAGTGGTGAGCGCCCTCACGAATGCAAAGAATGCAATAAGACATTCACCCAATCTGGTCATTTGAAAACACACATGCTCATTCACAGTGGTGAGCGCCCTCATGAATGCAAAGAATGCAATAAGACATTCACACGATCCGGTGATTTGAAAAAACACATGCTGATTCACAAAGTCATCTAAAAAAACACATGATGATTCATAATGGAGAGCCTCCTTATAAATGTGATATATGCAATGAGGAATTTACTCAATCTGACAATTTGGGGAAACACATGGCACTTCATAGTGGGAAGAGTGATGAAAATCAATGAAATATTAATCCAAATATTATTGTTTTATATTGTTATGTTTAATGATACACAAATGGTATCACAAATCAAATTAGGTATTATATAATGTTTGTAATGTAACAAATGATTTTGTAATAAGAACTTTCTATAACAGAAAACATGTGTTGCTTTCCTTATCCTTGAGCAAAGGGTTTAATTACATAGAAACAATATATATTCATTTTTTTTATAACACTTATTAAAATCTGTTGGAAATTATTTAACTGTATTATATAGTCAATGTATATTCTGTGCAAAGTGTTATAACTATGCAATAAATGTGCTATGTATAGCATACAATATATATTAAAATTGTAATGTATATTATGAACAAAGCCAAGAGACAAAAGTAAATAAAATTCATTGAGAATCAATTTTTTGTTTTAAAAACAATTAAATAAAGGATGGAGTAATTTAAATATTCCATTATTTTTGGCAAGATTCTAAGAACGAAATTTATTGTTGTGAAAGTTATCATCAACCATATTTGAGACATATAGTTATACATTTCATAACTCTTTAATACTATTCGTCATTCATCAAAAAGTTTTAGTGGTATGTCTTCATGTTCAGAAGACGCATAAAATATATATCTGAAGACTAATTTTTACAAATTAATTAATAACGTGGATTAGCAATCACTGATATGAGACCTCCACTTGAACTTATAGATCCCAAATACAATGTTAAGGAATGTTATCTTCCACTGAATTGAATGCTAAATAAATTTCCAAATCATTCATACAATTTTTTATTGATGATATTTGAACAGACAAAAATTTTAAATCACGTATTCCAATTTTATTTATAAATTGTAACATTTTTCAATTTTTTTAATAGAACAGAACCTTCATATACAATTAGATATCTAATGACAATAAATTAAATATAGAGGAAAACCTACAGAGTATCAAAGAGGAAATAGTTGTCACCCCAGACACAACACATTTATTGAATAATTCTATAGACGAACCCAGAAAGAAACCTGGCAGGAAAAGGAAAAAACAACCGACTTTATGTGACACCTGTGGTAAATCTTTTAGATACTCCAGTGAACTTACTCGGCACAAAAGAACTCACTCAGGCTTAAAACCACACGCTTGTTCCATTTGTGAATTCAGATTTACAGAAGCCTCACAACTCAAAAGGCATCTACTTCGCCACACTGGTATCAAGCAGCATAAATGTCCGATTTGTAACAAAGCCTTTGCAGAGACGACCAATGTGAGGAAGCATATTCGAGCTGTTCACAATGTGGAGAAGAATTTAGAGTGTTCGGAGTGCAAGAAAATGTTTTATATGTCTTCGCAGTTGAAAGTTCATATGAGGACTCATACTGGGGAAAAGCCTTATTGTTGTACTATGTGTCCTCAGAAGTTTTCGCATAAGAATAGTTATACGAGGCATTTGAGGTAAGTAACTAATTTTTCTCTTATCCGATAAAATTTAAGTATTAAAGTGAAATTTCTTTTCAGGGTGCACTCAGGAGAACGCCCGTACTGTTGTAGTGATTGTGGGTCCAGTTTTAGTGATTCTGCAAATTTCCGTGCACATATTCGTCTTCACACCGGAGAAACTCCTTATAAGTGCCCCATTTGTAATAAGGGCTACGCACAGAATAGTAACCTCAAGAGCCATATGAAACAACACAAGAAATAGATGCGTACTTATAGACTTGAGGAAATCAATATGTAATTATAGCATACAATAAAGGGGGTATGCCATTAAAAGTATTTTATTAAATTAAATTATATATATATATATATATATATATATATATATATATATATATATACGAGGTGTGTTCAAAAAGTACCCGGAATTACTAATAATTAAATTTCGCGGGTCTGGAGTGTCTGATTGTCAAAATTTTTTTTTTATTGTGTTGGTATACATGCCCCTAAAGTATGATGAAATTTTCAGCTATATTCACTGTTTACTTTGTCTGTGGTAGTCGCTAAGGTTCGACGTGTTTTTCTGAGCTCGGCGATTTTTACAATGGAAGAATTGAAAAGTCAAAGAATTTGTATTAAATTTTGCGTAAAAAATGAAATAAAGTGTTGCAAAGTGCAAAAATTCACCAGATATGGCTCCGTGTGACTTTTTCCTATTCCCAAAGTTGAAGAGACCCATGAAAGGACGGCGGTTTTCCTCGATTGAAAAAAATCGCTGAGAGTGCTCAAGGACATATCAAAAAGTGAATATCAAGGGTGCTTCGAAAATTGGAAAAAACGCTGGCATAAGTGTATTATATCTGGGGGGGACTACTTTGAAGGGGACCACATTAATGTAGACGAATAAATAAATATTTTTTTGAAAAAACAAAAATTCCGGGTACTTTTTGAACAGACCTCGTATATATATATATATATATTATCCTGCCTTGCATGCGATGCATGCAAAAAATGCGGGCGCACGCTTTAGGGGGCGCCAAAACGAGATTTGGAAATGCAATTTATAATATATTATTCGTATTTTTTTGATATAAAATCTAGATTACTCAATAGATTATAATAAACAATATAACTTAACTATGAATACGTAGAAACAGAAAGCATATTCAGTTTGCAATGTGATATCTGTAGGAACAATTATATAACCCATGCAAATTAATAAATTCTTGTTCTGCTCATTATTAAATAAACTTTTCAACTTTTTCTTCGATTGAAGTTAATGTGGAATCGAAAAATAATTATCTAGTATTCAATACCGTAAGCGCAAACCTACGAAAGTTTAAATTATTGGGCATTATTGATGAAAAATTGCGAGCTGATTTAGTTTGAACGGAACTTGTTAAAAGAAAATAGATACAAATTATAATAGAGAAAAATGTAAAATGGGAAGTCAGTGCTTAGTAAATGGCTATAAGACCGTGAAACTTAATTGTAACTTTTTTATTTGTTGAAAATGTTTTGCATCTGATTAACTTTGAACGTTAAAGACATGCGTGGTTAGGTTTATGAAAATGGAAGCAAAATGTACTTAGAAACAAAACTCGTGAGCTTTTTTATACCTAATGGTGTCCATACTATATATATAGTTCAGGTGATATCGTTCAGGAAATATGTAATTTCTTTACATCTTTACAATACGTTAAAAATTAACCTTTAAAACAACAATCTGATATTCTGAATCAGATGGGAAAGTAAACATGAATACAATTTGGCTTTACGATATCAATAACCCACTAAACCAGTTACGTAATATTACGTAATTTTTATGTAAGAAATATGTAATCTACATTACGTAATTAGATATTACGAAAGAATTACATAAATATTACGTAATTTTCCTGAAAAAAATATTACGTAAGATAAATGAAGATTTTATTCTATATATTTACATAAACTAGGCAAATTGTTGGAACTTACCGTACTAATAATTATTTTGTTTTAAAAAGATTAACATTTTTGAAATAAAATTACTTTGAAAAAATTAGATTTTTGAGACTATAAAATTTTGACAAAAAATTACCTTTTTTGAAAAAAAGACTTTTGAAAAAAAAATTTTTTTGAAAATTCTAAACTTTTTTTCAAAGTAATCGTACTGCATTAACTGCATAGAGACGAAATAAAAATGGCTCGCGAATTTTCAAAAAATTAGATTTTTGAGAAACTATAAAATTTTGACAAAAAATTACCTTTTTTGAAAAAAAAGACTTTTAAAAAAAAAATATTTTGAAAATTCTAAACTTTTTTTCAAAGTAATCGTACTGCATTAACTGCATAGAGACGAAATAAAAATGGCTCGCGAATTTTCGGAACATTTCGTTTCATGAACGAAGCTGTCAACCAATGAACGGCGCTAAGTGACATAAATACCGTTATGTCTGCAAGGAGACTGCCGTGCCGAGGCCGCTGGCTGCGGCTACTACTAGGCAAAGATTATGGGAGTACGATTCGCCATGCGTTTTAAATTAAGTTTTGTGTTTTGTAGTGTCTTATCAATATTTTTAATTTGCTAATTAAATGTTAAATATGTGAAGATATATGTTTGTTATAAATGTATTCTAAAGCCTCTTAAATTACATGAATTACTTAAATCTTTACTCTAAAACGCTCCATTAACCTAAAAATTAATCGTGTGTGTTATTAATTTTTTTTCTAATAATAATTAGATATATAAAGAACTTTGTTTCAAATGTAACGGTATTCATATTCTAAATACTATTTTATTGTTAATATAAATTCAGTGACAAATTATATATAACAGAATTACTTGGCCTTTTGAAAACCATTTGCTTTGTGTAAGTATGTAAAAAATATATGTATCAAAAGTTAAATAGAAATTATTACCATGTTTTTTATTTCAGGTAAAAATCGAAAGCTAATAATTTATATCCGAGATGCATTTTTTCATCACAAATGGGCCATGAAATAGATATCGAGAATGCTTTTGTAGAGAAGACATCATAGACTTATACCACATTTAGTTTTAACAGAAGATACAGTTCCTAATTACGTAATATTTTCCATGAAATAGTTAATGAAAGAACTTATGAAGACTTTGTAAAGGATACTTCGATGATTTTTATTTCGAGTTTAATTTAAAATTAGCATTTCTCTTACTTATCATTTATCATATTGTATATTTTTCCATTTGCCATTAAAAAATGTTGATCAATATGTCATATGTAATTACATTATTTCATAAAAATTGTGAATTATTATTTATTACTTTATAGATTTTCTAATGTTAAAATTGTGTATATATGCCAAAAAAATAAACATGCCATATAAATGTGCTTTTTCTTTCATTTTTCAGATAGTGTATATATATATATATTTTTGAATATTCTTGAATTTGATGTTGATATATATGTTTAATTTGAGTTTAATATTCGGGCGTAACATCAATAAAAATAGTATGAGTTTTTTTTTTTTTTTTTTTTTTAAATTTATTTATTTAAAATCCATACGTTTCGGCTAGCATCTTAGCCATCATTCAGTGGTAATCAAGTTAACTATAAAAATTGGAACTAAATAAATTATATGAAAGGAAATTTCATGGAAAAACAATAATAATAATAATAGTAATAAAACACTTACAATTTTGTATCCTAATATAGCATATGAAACCATTATTAATCCATGGTATGAGTATGTGCACATTGATAAGATATGTATTTTTTAACACAAACATCACAAATGGTAAAACACACTAATAATCATGATAACTTGACAAGTTGTCGAAACTATGTATTTACTATTCGGAGTTTAGGATAGAAATGTCACAACTTTCTCAAAGTAGTTTTTAGCATGTGTTGATATTTTTTGGAAAATTTAAAAGGCGATGGGATTTTGTTATTTTTTAAGGAATTTTGACACGCTATTAAGAAACCACGTGTTCGTTTCGATAAGGGCCGTCAACTAGTTTCGACAACTTGTCAAGTTATCATGATTATTAGTGTGTTTTACCATTTGTGATGTTTGTGTTAAAAAATACATATCTTATCAATGTGCACATACTCATACCATGGATTAATAATGGTTTCATATGCTATATTAGGATACAAAATTGTAAGTGTTTTATTACTATTATTATTATTATTGTTTTTCCATGAAATTTCCTTTCATATAATTTATTTAGTTCCAATTTTTATAGTTAACTTGATTACCACTGAATGATGGCTAAGATGCTAGCCGAAACGTATGGATTTTAAATAAATAAATTTAAAAAAAAAAAAAAAAAAAAAAAAACTCATACTATTTTTATTGATGTTACGCCCGAATATTAAACTCAAATTAAACATATATATATATATATATATATATTATATATATATATATATATATATATATATATGTATATATATATATATGTGTGTGTGTGTGTATATGTATGCGTGTGTGTACATACATATATATTATATATGTATGTACATTCTGTGTGTATACTCATTTCTATGTTCATGAATGTGTGTGTTCATATATACACATATGTGTATGCGTGTGTTCATATATACACATATGTGTGTATGTGTGTGTTCATATATACAGATATGCTGTGTATATTTATGTATGTGTGTAAAAAAGAACCCCTCCACGTCATTTTTTTTTCAAATTACGTAATTATTATGAATATTTTCGTAATCCATATTACGTAATTCACATTACTTAAAATAGGCGAAATTATGACACATATCTTACATTAATCTTACGTAAAAATGACATAAGTATGTCATTTTTTTGCGTAAAAATTACATAAATATTACGTATTTTGGCTTAGCGGGAAGTTACTGATGCAATTTTGGATATTGTAAAGAATGAAAAAAAATTAAAATGAAATTTTAAAAATTTAATATGAAAAATGAATGTTATGTTTAAAAATAAAAATGAGTTTAATGAAATAAGTGAAATGTTTCAAAACCCAAATATTCATATTACATATATGTTAGAAATACTTTAAAATATAAAATATTTAATTATGGTCAATCCGCAAATCGCTTCGATTTTCTAAATAAAATTAAAATCAATGTATTTTATACGCTTTTAGGTTATTTATAATTTTGTGTGTGAATTCACGTAAATATTCATATAATTTTAATGATAAATGTTAAAACAGTTAAAAT